TGGTCTGTGTCTTTTTAAAGATGACATTCCGTCCGTGTCCTCTTGGTTTTGGTCTTTTCGGTCTTAATGGTCTAAGAGCGCCATCTCTGGCTCATCCTGGCTGAGATAAGAGATGTCAACAAAGTTCGCTTTCTTGACGCTCCCATCTCCTAGGTTTGCCTGTTCGGCGACACTGTCGAAGACTTTGCCCAGCAGTTCTCAGCAGTACAGAAGCAGATTTAGGCCATCAAGCATATCTTGCCCCAACATGATCCTCCTGCTGCCACCATTCCGTTGAGGGCTGGCCAACAGTCTGCTCGTCGCAGTGGGCACCCTCCTGCAACCTCCACAGCAGCTCCATACCGTGCTGATATTACATCAAGGCTGGCACGTCGAGCTCCTCGGTTTGATTCAGTACGCCAGGCAACCCTCGCCAGGTTCAGCGGCGTTCTCGAGACTTTGGTGGTAGTCCGAGATGCCCCTGTCCTGCACGAGGAGATTGCTGTCCTTCTGGTGAAGGATGCAATCGAGCCTGTCCCTCCAGGCGAGATGAGGCAGGGGTTCTACAGCCCTTACTTCATCGTGCCCAAAAAGAGCGGTGGCCTTTGGCCGATCCTGGATCTGCGAGTTTTGAATCGGGCCCTTCAAAACCTCCCGTTCCTGTTTGCAGCTGTTGACCTGAAAGACGTTTACATTCACATCTCGATTCTCCCTTGACACAGGTCGTTCCTATGGTTTGCGTTCGAGAGTCGGGCGTATCAGTACAGGGTCCTCCCCTTCGGGCTGTCCCTGTCCCCCCATGTCTTACCAAAGCCGAGGAGGGCACCCTTGCCCCATTACGGGAAGTGGGCATCAGCATCTTCAAATATCTCAACGACTGGCTCATCATGGCCCAGTCGCAAGAACAGTTGTGCGATCACAGGGATCTGGTGCTCCAGCACCTCAGCCAGCTGGGGCTTCAGGTCAACTGGGAAATTAGCAAGCTCTCCTCCCTGCAGAGAATCTCTTTTCTCGATATGGAGTTGGACTCAGTCGACATGATGGCGCGTATCACCAACGATCGCGCCAGTCAGTGCTGAATTGCCTGAGTTCCTTCAGAGGCAGGACAGTGGTACCGCTGAAACAATTTCAGAGGCTCCTGGGACATATGACATCCGCAACCGTAGTCACGCCGCTCGGATTGCTTCATATGAGACCACCTCAGCTGGTTACACAGCCGAGTCCCGAGAGCACAGGCATAGCGCTGTAGGACACATTGTGACGTTATCACGGCGATGTGTCGCCGCACATTCAACCCCTGGTCAGACCTTGCTTTTCTATGGGCCAGGGTGCTCTTAGAACAAGTTTCCCGGCATGTTGTTGTCACAACAGATGCCTCCAGGACAGGCTGGGGCACTACATGCAATGGGCAGGCATCCTAAGGGTACTGGATGGGGCCTTGAATGCTTTGGCACATCAATTGCCTGAAGTTGTTGGCAGTGCTTCTAGCTCTGCGGCGGTTCCAGCTGAGCATCATATGGCACCCTTATCCAGACCTGTGGAACCTCCAGCCAGAGCTCCCTCTACCAAGATAGCTTATGCCTTGAAGTGGAGTCTGTTCACTAACTAGTGTTCTTCTCAGCGAGAAGACCCCAGAAGATGCCCAGAAGAGTCGTGCTTTGTTTCCTGCAGGAAAGGTTGGAGCGTAGGCTGTCACCCTCCACCTTGAAAATTTTTGTTTCTGCTATCGCAGTGCATCACAAGGCAGTGGATGTCCGGTCCCTGGGAAAGCATGACCTGGTCATCAGGTTCCTGAGGGGTGCTAGGCGGCTGAACCCTCCTAGGCCACCCTTCATGCCCTTCTGGGATCTCTCTCTTGTCCTGGCTGGACTTCAGACGGATCCCTTTAAGCAGCTTGAGTCAGTTAAACTTAAGATCCTGTCTCTTAAGACAGCACTCCTGACCGCGCTCATTTCCATCAAGAGGGTCGGGGACCTTCGAGCATTTTCGGTAAGTGAAGAGTGCCTTGTGTTCGGGCCGGCCTACTCTCACGTTGTCCTAAGACCCCGGCCTGGATACATGCACAAGGTTCCCACCACTCCCTTCTGGGACCAGGTGGTGAGCCTTCAAGCTCTGCCCCCGGAGGAGGCAGATCCAGCCTTGCCGTTGCTATGTCGCATACAAGCACTGCGCATATATGTGGACCACACCCGGAGCTTCAGAAGCTCAGAGCAGCTCTTTGTCTGTTATGGAGGCCAGCAGAAAGGGAAGGCTGTCTCCAAGCTGAGGTTGGCCCACTGGATAGTGGATGCCATCACCTTGGCATACCAATTCCAAGGCGAGCCGTGCCCCATGGGGGTGAGAGCTCACTCCACCCAGAGTGTGGCTTTCTCCTGGGCTTTGGTTTTGGCGCCTCTCTGGCAGACATCTGCAGAGCTGCGGGCTGGGCAACACCTAACACCTTCGCAAGGTTGTACAACCTTCACATAGAGCCCAATAACCTTTCTTCTTAAAGGGGCCATATGATGTTGCTAAAAAGAACATTATTTTGTGTATTTGGTGTAATGAAATGTGTTTATGCGGTTTAAGGTTCAAA